GCAACGTGAAACTAAATTCGCGTTGCGATAGTCATTTTCGCATTGCGATTTTCACATTGCGATTTTTATTTCGCATTGCGATTATCCCGTTGCGATAGTCAAATTCGCGTTGCGATAGTCATTTTCGCGTTGCGATTTAAGTTTCGTGTTGCGACTATTCTTCTTCTGCAAATTGAAACTTAAATGGATTGCATTACTTCAACCAAAAGACAAAACAAAGACAAATACTAACTTCACAGGGTTATTTTAGAACTGTTTAGCAGTATTGGCAGCAACCGAATGAATTTACTAAGCAATCTAAGTGAAATGGTTAATCTAAGTGAAATTACGAGTAAATCAAGTTAAATATGAAAAATCTTAAACTTACCTCGTTGCGTAGAGTATGAACCTCATTCTGCAACGATACTACCATCTCACATAGAGCCGCTACCTCACCACGTAAAGTAGATACCTCGTCACGCCAAGCACCATTGTCATCGCGTAAAGTATCGACCTCCTCATGCAAGGGATTGACCTCATCACGTAACTCCCCTAACTCATCCCGTGGAGGTGGAGAACAGGGAGATAAATGTCGTGGCATCTTTGCCGGTCGCCTATCATGAGGTGATGGTGGAGAAGAGGCTCGATGATGTGACAAAGTAGGTGATGGCTCTCGTTGTAGAGGTATATAGTGTGGTCGATCAGGTGATGGCTCTGGGTGAGGTGATGACTCTCGAAGTGGAGGCTGCTCATCATCCGTGCCATCAAAAAAATGCTTACTAGCTTGCCACCAATCAGTGGCAAGCTCAGCCTCCATGGGTGTCAGCCTCTGTAATGGAGTGTTGGCCTCCTAACAATATAAAAGCTCAAACAAAGTTAAACGTGTATTAGTAATAACTTGTTTATATATATGGTAGTATTTGTGTTAACTTACATCATTTATTGTCGTATACCGTAGTAACTCTTCCCAAATCAACAGCCGTCGTTTCCTCTTTCAGGAAATAGCTCTAGGAATATCATTTCAAGTTTTTAATGCATATGTCTGCATGTCGGGAAAAGCCTCAAATATCCAAATCTACAAAAACAATATAATACACACACATTAGTAATTGTTAAATAATTAATTATAATTTTGGAAACATTATATAGAAATTCTTACCTTAAAGGCCCAAATAAAGCCTGACAAAGTGTATTTGGAACCATCGCCACGTAAACTTTTGCAGTCATCAAAGGCAGACGATAACTTATTCTAGGTAGCTTTCCATAGATACGAACCCCACGGAAACAGGTTCCATGCATTTAGGTCCTCTACCAATAATATTAGGTCCTTAGGAATAGGTTGTTTGGCCTCTCTGCCTAAAAAGCCGGCATGCAAAAGTACTAAAAGGCATACTCAGACAACATCGACGTCATCCATCCGAGTAAAACCATATTTCTTATTCAATAATCTCGTCAAGTCATCGACGTATAAATTCGGCTTCTCCATTGACAGCTCAGGAAAAATCCGGGATAACCATGATGGGCGGGTAATATGACTAGTGTATCGACCTACATCATCGTGTCCGAAGCGTAGACCAGTAATTAAGCAAAACTCCTCCCGCCCAAAACACGTATACGCCGGTGGAAAATGAAACAATATCTCTTCATTACCACGTTTTATACTCTCGGGTAGATCGCTAGTCATGGTCTGAAGCCACAAATGGGTCAACATAGCATCTCCACCCGAATGTTGTACTTTCAGCCATGGCCCGAAGTAAGTATCCTCAAACAATGTTCTTTGTACATGTGAAAGCTTCGACACAATTGTAGTGACTAGGCTTATTTTATTCCTTAAGGTCAATTGAGCCGAAAAAAAGTTCTACAAAAATAATAAACATACCAAGTTAGATTAAAAACTACACTGTGAAGAAATACCAAAAACAATAAAGAGTAGTAGTAGTAGTTTATTCTTCAAACTTAAATTTGCAACACTGTGAATTTCGTATTTGTCTTTGTTTTTTTGTTGAAGTAATGCAATTCATTCAAGTTTCAATTTGCAGAAGAATAATAGTTTTTGAAACTTAAAATCGCAACACGAAAATGACTATCGCAACGCGAATTTGACTATTGCAACGAGATAATCGCAACGCGGAATGAAAATCGCAACACGAAAATGACTATCGCAACGCAAATTTGACTATCGTTGCGATTTTCATTTAGCGTTGCGATCCTCGGTTTCAAATAGTCATTGTCTAAAATTGAAACTTGAATGAATTGCATTACTTCAACCAAAAGACAAAACAAAGACAAATACTAACTTTGCAGGGTTAAAGACTAAACAGTTTAGCAGTATTGGCATCAATCGAATGAATTTAATAAGCAATCTAAGTGAAATGGTTAATCTATTATTGAAATTACCAGTAAACTTATCATCAATTTCAATATGAAAAACCTAATAATAATACAAAAATTTCAAAATAAAAATAATTAAAAAAACTAACCATCGGTGGTTGATTTGGTTGATTTTCCATTTCTGATCGTAAATGATTGTGAGGTTGTCTCTGAGAAATGGAGATAGACGGATTTCGACAGAGATGGGGACGGATGTCCCCGTAGAGAGTGAGAATGGAGATGGGACTGAGTTGTGATTTAGGGTTTTAGGTTAAGAGTTGCGATTACGGGATGTATTAATATTCGTGTTTGGAATTTGAAAATAAAATACGCGTTGCGATACTAATGGCGCTTTGAAAATTACATTGCGATTTTATATTATCGCGTTGCGATAGTCAGAATCGCGTTGCGATTTACATATTCGCATTGCGATATACGTATTCGCATTGCGATAGTCAAAATCGCGTTGCGAATCTGGAAACTAATTTGCGATACTGGAGATCGCGTTGCGATTTAGAGATAGCATTGCGATTTTGTTGGTCATTTTGGCAAATCAAAAAAAAATTGGTCAAAATCGTATATTATAAGGAATTTTCGGTCACTGATGTTATTTTCTCTATTTAAAATGTGAGTATATCGATTATTAAATTAAAGTCTTTATTTTACAAAACTCTATTTATTTTTCCAATTAACTTTGCACTATTTAACGAATGAGATTTAATTTTACAGGTTGGAAAGCTACATGCATGAAGGACAAATGTGTAGAACCCAGAAGAAAACATTTATAAAGCTCAATATTCAATTAATGATCTTTTCACTTATTACTAATAATCTAATAATCCAAAAATATTCTAATACAACAAATATATATATATATATATATAAACTAACAAATCATTTTCGTATATTAAGTATAATACAATTCTAATAATGCAAAAGTCAAAATATTCATAATATTTTTTTTCAAAAATAATAATCATAAGAATTAAAATTACATGTGCGAATCAAACACCTCAATGTAAAAGATAACAATCATTATTTTAATAATATTTTAATAATAAATATTTAAATATTTTATAAAAAAATTTGAATCTAAAATCTCAAAAAATATCAACTATTTTTTTAACCATTCAAATCGTTTAATTTAATATATCAAATAAAACTATAAATTTATATTATATTTGTGTTTTATTTGCACTATTTTTCAATATATTATTGCCTCTCTCTCTTTCTCTGTCCGGTTTTAGATTAAACCGCTGGATAGCTTTTCCCCTCTGTTTTGAAAATCGGATCGGATCGGTCGGTTCAACAGGTTCAATCAGGAACCGTTGTTTAGTCCGGTTCAATCTAAACCGATTAAACCGCTATTATTGAACCGGCCAGAATCGCTGAACCCTTCGAACCGGACCGGCTGAAAACCAGAAAAAACCGGGATTTTTGTTTTTTTAAAAAAAAAATTAGACCAAACAACGGCGTTTGTTAAACGAGCCAAGTCGAACTCGAGTATTGCTGAGCTCAACTCGAACTTGAAAATTTTAAAAGTAAGTTCAACTCAACTTAAACTCACAAGCTAAAAATTATCAAGTTCAACTCAAACTCGAAATATAATATTGAAACTTGAACTCAAAAAGGCTTGAACTAAAAAAAAAAATTAGAAGCTCGATTGAAGCCTAAAATTCGAGCTTGATTGAAGTGAAAGAATAGTTCACTCAATGCTCACCAAAAGACTCCATGATTTTAAATGCCAAATTACCTTTATTATTTATAGAAGTTAGTTGTGATGCGCTTCTATGTTTCTTAGCAATATGAGATTGTTTTGTTCTCATATTTTTACTCTTTAGACTTTTGGGATGATCTTCTATGTTTCTTAACCATGTGAGATTGTTTTTTTTTAAAAATTAAACCAAACAATATCATTTTGTTGTGATTTTTTTAACCCCAAATTTATTTTTTAATTATAGTTATATAATTATAGTTATTATTTAATATATTTTACCTTAAATATTATATTGTAGTTAATTTGAATCATTTTGTTTCACTTAATTTTATGGTTTTTAACTTATATATGTTATGACTTGCTTTGAATATGACTTGTTATATAAAAAATTATTTTTTATTAAATATTTTTTGTATTTTTATTTAATTTTTTAAATAATTATGACGCCGTCCGATTCTTCCGACCGATCAGAACGATTCAATCGGTTGAATCAGTGAACCGATAGCATGACCGGTTCGCTAACCGATCCGATTCTGAAAACCATGTTTTTCCCTGTGTCTTCCTTTAAAATCCCAGCGCCAACTTTCTTTTACCTTTCTCTCTTACCAAACAGTTCTTTTTAACATTTATTATCCTTCTTTAAGAAGACATTGGATTCTTCAAAGAAATCCCAGAGCATGCATTTAAAAGATTTTCCATTTTTCATTTTTACTAAGCTTCGTGATTGTCGTGGCTGTTTTTCTGAATGGGTGCACTTCCACTTTACGGTTAAGATTTTTAAAAAAATACATTATTAGTTTTCTTTTGGTGGTCTAACAATTAAAAGTTTATGAGCTAATTTTTGTTTGTTTCCTCAAAATATAGTTTTGGTTTTTAGTGTAATTTCTGGAAAAGAAAAGGAGAAGAAAAGTTTTTGAAGTTTATATTATAAATATATAAAATGGCATCAGCGAGTAACTGGCTTTCGTTTTCACTGTCTCCAATGGAGATGTTGAGGTCATCATCTGAGCCTCAGTTTCTGTCATCTGAAGAATCTTCTGCTGCTTCTCCCCATTATCTGATCGATAACTTCTATGCTAATGGTATGTTTATCGTTTTTATTTTATTTTTCTCTCCTCTGTTTGGTTGCCTAGAAAATTTGAGAATACCCAAGGATTTAGAGGTTAAACGAAGTGAATAGTTGAACTTCATTTTCCTGCTGATTATACTTAAACCGACTTTAAAAACTCACTGATATGAACAATAAAATTTTCGTTCTTGTTTATGATCTAAAAAAGCACTCGTTTTCTATGTTTTGTTTTGGCAGGCTGGACAAATCCAAAAAATCAAATGTTTTTTGAAGAAGAGAACCAAAACGACGGAGCTCAAACGGCGGCATCAATGGCGGATGAATTTCCTATTTTCACAAACTTCCTTTACCGAGCACCGAAGCTTGAAGACTTCCTTGACGATTCTTCATCGATCATTAGATTTTCTGATAGTCAAACTGAAACCCAGAGCTCGTCTTTAACCCAAATATACGAGCATCAAGATCTTAAAAAAATTACTGGGTTTCAAGCGTTCTCGACGAACTCGGGGTCGGAAGTTGATGGCTCGTCACCAATGGGCGGGATTCACTTGACTCGCGTTGAGTTACCTGGTCACTCGACTGAGTCATGCGGTGACAACAGTAAAAATAATGATAAGGCCATTGTTAAGTTTGACTCAGATAGCTCAAAGAAGGTTTCCGATACATTTGGTCAACGAACTTCGATTTACAGAGGTGTCACCAGGTAAAAAACATCCCATCAATCAATCTTTTCCTTTTCATTTCTTCCATTTTTTTTATTTTTTTAATTGGTTCGTTAGTGCAGACACAGATGGACGGGTAGATATGAAGCTCACCTATGGGATAATAGCTGCCGGAGAGAAGGTCAAGCCAGAAAAGGCCGTCAAGGTCCTCTCTCATTTTCTTTCTTTTTAGTTTTTACACAGCTATGCTCTACAATTATAGATTAATAATTACATTATATTAATTCATATGAACAAACGGAGTTGGCAGGACGGTTTGGAAAATCAAAATATCATGTAATTTATATGAATTTTTATTGATTTTTTTTTATTCTTAAAATTTTATAAATTTATTTATGTTAAAATTTTATAAATTTGTCATCTTCATATACTTCTCAGTCCGTCCATAATATTGACAGTCTTTGCATTACTGTTTGCATGCGAATCTTGGATCCTGGATGTTCAAACCATTGTTTATACAGTATACTTGGGTAAGAAACTCCCTAGCTTTGTACTTACTAGTAGGATTGAGCAAATTTAACTCGATTCAATCTAATGCTCATTCCTAATTATTAAGTTTAATCTTGCAATGTCATACTGCCGATGTAAATCTTTAGACTTGAAATTTTATGGTGTAATTTTCAGGTGGTTATGATAAGGAAGAAAAGGCCGCTCGAGCCTACGATTTAGCCGCCCTGAAATACTGGGGTTCGACGGCTACGATCAACTTCCCGGTACTATATATGAACGGTCATTTCTTTATCATAGTTCATGCTTAAATCTATTTAAATGTGTCAAAGATACATCTTGAATAGAGGTATTAACCTAATGATCGGCGTTTTGCTTGGTTTAGATTTCGAATTATTCGAAAGAGTTGGAAGAGATGAAGCATGTGACCAAGCAAGAGTTTATCGCATCCATAAGGAGGTAATTAGCTTTGTATACTTGACTGGTTTGAATTTTTTGGATGATTGAAATGGGGTTAATCTTTTGTTCTTCGATATTTAATAGGAAGAGTAGCGGATTTTCGAGGGGTGCATCGATTTACCGAGGTGTCACAAGGTTCGAACATTTTGTTTTGAATTCGAATTAGTAGTTGTCAGAGCAAACGACTGAAGATTATGTTATCATCCTATGATTGCAGGCATCATCAACAAGGCCGATGGCAAGCCAGGATAGGCCGGGTTGCCGGAAACAAGGACTTATACCTTGGGACTTTTGGTAAGGCCACGGAACTCTGCCACTTATGACTTAACTACTGTAAGTTCATTGTTTGGAACTGATAATGTTCACTGTCCACATGGTTCATAGCTACTGAGGAGGAGGCAGCTGAGGCGTACGATATCGCGGCAATCAAGTTCCGAGGCGTGAATGCGGTGACCAACTTTGAGATGAGCCGGTATGATGTCGAAGCCATTGCCAAGAGTTCTCTTCCCATTGGTGGGGCAGCTAAGCGCCCAAAGCATTCCCCTGAACTGGAACAAAAACCAATAGTAAACCGCGAGCAACAACAATCCCGGTGCAGCTCCAACGGTCACGGTGTAAGTTTCACTCCCATACAGCAGGTTTCTGACGTTCCTTGTGGAATAACTTACGACTCTGCAGCAGCAACAGCAACATTTTACCAACAGAATCTGTACCATCAACTTGAGACCACCAGAGTTGGCATCTCTGAACCCCTCAGTTTGTCGTCAACAATGGCAACACCTACGACGGTCACGTCGCATCCGGCAGCTGAGTTCTTCTTATGGCCTCACCGGTCTTATTAAAAAATGAGCCGAGCAGTTTTAACAGCAATTCAGCTAACAATAAATAGCAAAGTGTTCATTGAAGCTCTCTCAAGCAGACTCGATGATCTGAGCTTGTTATCTTTACCTCTCTTTTTTTACTTGGCAAGAGTAGGGTTTTGCTTTGATGGGTAAAGGAGTAGTTGAAACAATAGAAAGATGGATTTTGTAAAGTATCTAATTTTCTTCAAATGTTGCCGATATTTCACCAATTTTTCTTGAATTTTGGTTTCATCTGTTTTTTTTAATTATAAAAAGAATATTTTTAATTTAAAAGTAATTAAAAGAATAAAATTTGTTCATGGATCGGATTTAATAAAATAAAAAAACAATTAATCCATCTACTTTGCAACTCTTGGAACTAATACTTCCAAGTTTTATTAAAGATAGTTTTCAGGGTAATATTTTTAAGGGCAAACCATGGTTTTCAGAACCGGTCCGACCGATCGAAAGAACCGGACGACGTCATAATTATTTAAAAAATTAAATAAAAATACCAAAAATATTTAATAAAAAATAATTTTTTATATCACAATTCATATTCAAAGCAAGTCATAACATATATAAGTTAAAAACTATAAAATCAAGTGAAACAAAATGATTCAAATTAACTACAATATAATATTTAAGGTAAAACATATTAAATAATAAATATAATTATATAACTATAATTAAAAAATAAATTTCGCGCTAAAAAATCATAACAAAATTATATAATTATAATTATATAACCATTCTTTCACTTCAATCAAGCTCGAATTTTAGGCTTCAATCGAGCTTCTAATTTTTTTTGAGTTCAAGCCTTTTTTAGTTCAAGTTTCAATATTATATTTCGAGTTTGAGTTTAACTTGATAATTTTTAACTTGTGAGTTTGAGTTGAATTGAGCTTACTTTTAAAGTTTTCAAGTTTGAGTCGAGCTCAGCAATACTCGAGTTCGACTTGGCTCGTTAACAAACGACGTTGTTTGGTTTAATTTAAAAAAAAAAAAGTAATCCCGGTTTTTCCCGGTTTTCCCCGGTTTTTTTTCGGTTTTCAGTCGGTCCGGTTCGAATGGTTCAGCGGTTCTGGCCGGTTCACCAATAACGGTTCAACCGGTTTAGATTGAACCGGACTAAACAACGGATCCCGATTGAACCGGCCGGTCCAGTCCGGTTTTCAAAACAGAGGGGCAAACTACATATTTTTGTTTCACTTTTGTTTCAATCATTATTTTATTTGAAAAAAATTATATTTTAATTATTTACATTATCGATTTATTATATTTTTATCCATGAATTATTTTTATCATTGTGTTAGTAATGAGAAATCAAAGTAAGAGGTTTATGTAGGTTATAGAGAAATATAAATTCTACAATCTCAGTCTTATCGTTAGGGTTCAAATTTTATTTTTATTCTTCGGCGATAATAGTTGATTATATTTTTATAGTTTCTGTTATCCAATTACGAATGGATTTATGGCTAAAAAAGTTAAAGACTTTTATTATAATATTTTAGAATTTTGTTTTTGGGTTAGAATGTTGGGAGAGTTTTTAATTTGTTTCGATAAATGGAAAAAAAAATTACAAAAGGTTGGGCTTAAAAAAGGAGTGATTGTAAATTTTATTTGGTTACATAAAACAATATAGATATCATATAATTGCTAAAATAAACACAAAGCTGGAATAGCTCAGTTGGTTAGAGCGTGTGAGGTCGGAGGTTCAAGCCCTCCTTCTAGCGTTAATTTGTGTTTTTTTTCTTTTTCATTTCCAGAACAAAAAAAAAAAGGGATAAATCTCCAAACATGTCATAACAATGTGATTGCACCAAAATCATGCCTTGGTACTATTATAACAAAAAAATGATTAGATCTCAACATAAATATGTGGAATACAAAATCTACAAATCCTTGTGATTAGCCTTACATTGAATAATAAAGTTCGTTAAGTTTCAATCCTTGTTCATCTTTTACCCATCAAACGATGGACACCGACACTCCATTGGATTCTGCAACATCCCTAGAATTATTCTCATTTCCGCCATTACCATCCTCCTTTGCTCCTTGAATATATTTGTGCACTTCACTTTCTACCCACAAACACCTATAATCAAAGTAAACAATCTCCTGCTTTCCAATTTCATGGTCTCCGATTCGAATTTGGTAGGCAACTGGCTGGCCAACATCACAATATATAACCCGATCATCGCGTTATCCATCTACCTTAAGCAAACCGGAGCTTCAATTCTTTACAAACACGACTACGCGTTGTCGTTGACTTCCTTCGACGATTTCGAGCTCGATCCGTGGGAGATGTTTGTGTTAAGTTCGTGACGGCAGGGATTGAAGCTGATCGACCAATCATTGAATATTCATTGTTGAAGGAGATTGGAAAAGATTGGGGACAAGGGAAAATTAAGTTTCGAATAAGATTCAATGCAATGGTTAACTATGAAATCGATTTCCCTAATTTAAGGGGGAGGTCAATAGTGATGGACCCTTGTAATAAAGATTTAGATGTCAATGTTGAAGATGCAAGAAGAAGAGCAAGGGATGAGATTTATGATCTTATTGGTCATGTCCCTGAGGATGGTTCTTGGCTTATCATGGTAGATAATTGAGTTCCAGTTAAATTAGCTGGTTTTTATCTGCTTCATTTGTGATGACTTGACCTGTTATTTTCCATTGCCAAAAGTCGGTTCATGCACTGTGGTATCAGTATGGTTCACGTAAATGAAGTAGATACTTGTATGTTGCCCAATTAAAAGACAGATCATGACGATGCTTACCACATTCAACACAACAGTAAATCTTTTAGACAAAAGTTTGGAGTGAGGGTTACCACATTCAACACGTGTGGAAATGTCATGCACTCGATATGCAGAGCATAATTACATTTATTAGTACATCAGTATGCGTATTGAATATCATCGCCACAAGCAATGCATTTCCCTTCACATATGGGATCATAAAAGAGGAGTGAACCCATTAACGGGTAAAAGAATTTGTATCTTAAAAGATTTAGGTTCGAACAATTTTGTTTGTAGTATGTTTATGCGTTATCAATAAATTAAATTTTTTTAAAAACAAATATCGTTTTAAAATCATCCAAACTATTAAAAAAACTATCACAAATATCGACACATATAAAACAATGAAATGAAAAAAATCAATGCATATATAAGAACAACCATAACATATGAGAATAACATCTAGTTTAAGGTTAGGATTAAAACATTTTAATTTCTTTTAAAAAGTTGAATATAAAGTTTCAATCTCAATCATTCGTTTAGATTTGTTTAATGAACGGTAAGACTATTAGTAGAAAAGGAACTTTTTATAGAAAAAATTATTATCCTTAATTTAAAATTTTTTATTCAACGCATTAAACTCAATTAATCCAACTATTTAAAAAGCATGTAGAAATTAAAAGTTACACAAGTAAAGAAGCTACCGATAAAATTAAAACCGCACGAGCAAGGAAGGTACCATGTGTTCCTACAGTGCTAAAAAGTAAAAACTATCAAAAAAAGAAAAGACAGGAAACTTGGAGAAATTAATGAAGCAACATGGTTTTTATATTACCAGCATGAATATGGGAAAGAATGTCTATTGACAAGTTCATAAACAAACATCAACACCCATTGCTGATCAGCATTTGCCGCCATTTTACCCCACATTGGCCACATCGCACAAATTTCTAATTCTCTACATTTTCGATTCAGTCTAAAGGAAACAGTTTTCTTAATATAAACCCATGATCATATTAGGATTTTACATCAGAACATCAGTTGCCTGCATTGCGTCAAATTGATACCGGTCGGACAGTATGGGCACTTGAAACTCTTCGAACCATTCTTTGACATCTTGTTGATAGACTGTTTGCAAAGCACATGGCCACACGACAACATCATTGGCGGGTTATCATCAGTTGATTGCTCCTTGGATACGGGGCAGACAAATATTGAATGAAACTGAAACTCTTTGTCCAGCTCGATCGGCACGGGCAACTGCTTCGTTGTTTGCCATTCATGTTTCTTCCCTGCCATAACAGTCATAAACTTGAGAAGTGGGGGCAAACTTTGGATTCCTGCTGCTATTGCGACACTCAATGGGCTCTCATATGATTTGCCCAGAAGATTGCAGAACTGCCTGGTGAGTTTCTCGGTCACAGTATCCCAATTGGTAGACGATAATAAATGAGCATACGGGGACTCGTGAAGTCTATCAGAATATAAGAGACACCCCATGAGCTTCTGGATTTCGGCCATGTGGTTTCCGGCGAAAGAAACAAAGTTGGTTCTTGCATACTTGAGTGCTTCATCTCTGCTTCCCTTTTGAAGTATTTTCAGAAACTGCAAATGATGGAGTCTCAGATGAAGGTCTGAACCATTTTCTTTCAGTTTATCGGAGTTTGCAGCTGCCCATTTCAGGGCAGGCTTCAGGTTCCAACTCTTCATGGCTTCGAGTATTTGATGAAGTTCCTGGAAAAGTAATTTCATAGTAGCAGCAGCTTCTACATCCTGAGCCTCGGCTATTAAACAATCACCAATCTCAAACAGCCCTTGACGATAAAAGTGGCAGGCAATTATTTGGTTAACTACTCGGGAATCAAACTCAATATTTCGGTAAGCCTTGGATATATCAGGATTAAGGACTTTCTCGAGAGCTTTTGGATACTTGCTCAGTGCTATGTTCAGTTCCTTTTGGGTGCCTTCTAGCTGACTGAGTGGAGAAACTTCCTGCAACTTTTTCTTCAGTTCAGCTAGTTTGGATTTATATTCAAGAGTGCTTGACTGCACCATCTGGATTGCCTTATCTATTTCCTGAACAATCAGATCTGCAACTTTATGCGTTTTAGAATAGGACACCTTTTGCTTCTTTGCAACACGCTCAAATGAATCTTTCAGGCTATTGAACTCCATTTTTAGTTCTGTTCACCGTGTCAAATATTATATTAGAATCTTGCTACAAGAGTACCTGCCAAAAAGCAATTAAGAAATTGTATCAGTTAAAAATCAAATTTGTCTCTGTGGGAACAAAAAAAAGGTATAACAACCTTAGACCTGCAGCCATTATATTCACAAATGCAACTCATGCCAGAAAGACGAGGGCATTAACAGAATAAAAGGAAGGTAAAGTACATGTTCCAGTAAACTAAGGAAAAAGAGGAAGGTGCATAAGATATGAGAGGAAAGGTCAGTCTGTGGATGTATGGTTTTTCATTTGGTTATGATCTCAAATGCACCAGAAAAATGATATATTGGGGTTAAATCATGTGAATTCTAAAAGCGAAAGCGTTTATCATGTGAGTTCTAAAAGATATATTGGTTATGAATTGGCTTCAACAACAACATTGAGCACATGCTCACTTTGCATTTATCGTTAATAGGAGAACAAAAGCGAAAGCTTAATAACAATAGGAATAGTACAAATACATTTGGAAGAGTTTTTAGTCTATTAACGTAACATCCCTAAAACTAGACATACAGCTTTGACACAAGGAAACAGCTCATGCTAATAAAGTGTTTGAATCAATTCTAGATGACTGCATAAGCAGGCTATTGGATTCTGATTACCCAATGCAAAAATCTTAAAAGAAATCATTAGTAGATTAATTGGAAGTCTTGTGTAACCACAAATTCTATTTGAACATATGATACATTTTGCTAGCCATCAATAAGACAAATACTGTTTTACGGGACTGAATGCCAGGTGCAGAACAAATCAGTGTGACTCACATGAGAATGCTAAATCAGATGCCTATGCAACAACAAAATTAGAAATGCAATTATAAAGATGAAGGCTGCACTGAGCACAAAATGAGGAAAAACACATTTGTGATAGTTCAGAAATGTAAAGACTATGAAATATCACTGGAAAGATGTTACTATACAGAACAAAGCAACTTCAAGACATGGAAAAGAGACAAAGAAGGATGCAGTAGAGATTACAAAGGATAAAAAAGAACTTCAATTTCAATAAGCTTACAGAGACTATAGTCTTGAATATAGTGGTGCAATACAAGTCATATTGCCAACTCGCATACATGTTGATATACAGTTGTTAAAAGGGACACGGGAAAATATTACATCTATGAGATATATTATATATGAACCATTTAAGACTTTTAGACTTCACCAGGTAGGAGGGATGGACAAAGAAAGGAAGAATTTTTAAATCTCATCATTAGATTAAAATATTTTACGATCTTTCCCCATCTACATCCGCCCTAACAAACATTAAGGAAGACTAGAAGAGTAATCCAAGTGTCAGGTAAACAAATTAACATCAACTTTCAAGAAGAATGATCTACAGGTTTGCATTGGATATATCAAATAAGTTAATTTCCAGTTCTTTTCCAATGAGTTCAAAATATTAGGTCAATTTCTTATGAACCAAAGCTTACAATAATCAAAACTATAAATTAACAACAGTAACAATCAATATGAAAGTGACATTTCTTATAATTCAAGAAATAGAATGAAAAACTCTTCTAAGAAGAAGCTAACCAAAAATAGCAACAAAACTACGCAAAAAAACAGAGTTAACAAAAGAAAAAAAAACGAAGTCAAACAGAACAGAAAACAGATTACTCTCAAATTACCGAGATTAAGCTCCGGTTAGTGAAGTCAGACCGGAAATATGATATCTGCGACAAAAATTAAGAAATCAAAATCCAATGTTAAAATCAATCTGGAAATTACAACAGGAACTTAATTCAATGCATGATTCAAGGCTATAAATAACAAGCGCGAATATAACTAACAAATTACCTTAACTATATCAATGCTATAAAAGGGATGAAATTAGAAATAAATAAAAAATAATTTAGGAAAAAAATAAATGAAATTCGAATAATAGATTTATTTTTCCCCCGAAGAAAGAAATAGAAGAGCATACGAATTTGCGGAGGAGATTATCAGTGAAGGGGAAAGGCTTGGTGGGAAGTGAGACCCGTGTGAGGGAGGAGTAATGGAAATCTAAATTTCTGAAAAGGGCTTGGCCCTTCTAGGTTATTCTTGCCTTGTTATCCCGGTTAAGAATTGAGAGACATTGGACATTTGGCGACTCCACCTGGATGAAGAATCCGGCTTATTTAGGGAAATAAAAAATAGAAATTTTGAAAACTTGGGTTAAGAATCTGACAATAAATCCATGATGTAAAGTTAATGATTTGAATCTTAATATTTGAGAATGAAATCAGGAGAATTATCTTTAATAATATTTTTTTGAATATTCAATTTAAATTAATCAATTAAAAGATACAATATTAATGATTATACCAAACAAATGCAAGTTATTAAATAATCTTTTTAATTGTGGATGATTACGATAAATCTTCTTCACATATATTTTTTATAATTTAAAAATGTTAAAATCTGACTTTCTCACTCTAAAATTCGGTATAAATCAATAATTTTCTAGAATCGGAAGAAGATGAAAATGTGTTTTTCCCGAAAAATCACCGGTGATAGATATATTTATCGATCTAATACCGGTCAGATTATATTTCTCGATCTAACACCCGTAGCAGTAAAGCGTGCTCCCTGCCCCGCGCTATATGTTGATTTGGCGTCACATGGGGTATAGCGCGCCCCTTGTACCGCGCTATACGCTGACATGGCTTACACGTAGGTATAACGCGACCCCTGATCCGCGCTATAGCTGTTTATCTGACACGTGGGGTATAGCGCGGTACAGGAGACATGATATACCTTTAATTACCCCCAATCCTCCCTATAAATATCCCCTCCTCTATTACTTTCATCACACCATATTCTCTCAATTCTCTTAAATACTCTATCTATTTAAGGTATATTTTATAATATTTTTAATATTATGTATTTAATTTATTTAAACATTTTACTTTATTTAATATTTTACTAATATAATTTTTTGTAGATATATAATGGAAGGCGGTATACTTCGCTTGAATGAAAATCATATATATCGACACTTTGCTGTAACATTTTAACGTTTTAATTTAATTTAAATTATTTGTAATAATGTTGATTTATTTAATGCATGATTATTAGATTAAGAATTAATTTGTGTAATTATTTAATTTTAGGAGAAGGACCGTGTATTAGATCATTTTATTAGGAATCTTAAGTTAGTGATACCTAGCCGTGTCTTGCCGTATTTAGTAGAGGCTGGATTTGGTTACATAGGTAGATATCAGAGTCACTGTAAGATAGAACCAGACCTTATTTCTGCCTTAGTAGAGCGGTGGAGGCCGGAGACCCACACATTCCATCTTCCGTGCGGAGAGTGCACGATTACACTTGAGGATGTTGTTATGCACCTAAGGCTTCCGGTGGATGGAGATGTGATATCAGGGATCTCGCAGGGTTCCTGGACTACTTTGTGCCGTGATAATCTAGGACGTGTCCCGGAAAGTTTTATCGGAGATAGGATACCGTTAAATTGGTTAGATGCCAATTTTTGGGAGTTGAGCGCAGACGCATCTGAGGATGAAGTTAAGATGTATGCACGGGCATGCATACTGCAGTTGATAGAAGGGTTGCTGATCAAAAAATGTATAACTTACTAATTTGCTTTCTTTGCAAAATTAAAACGATTGAAAGAAAACAAACTACATCAGTTTCACTTACCCATGCGCACAATTAATTGAAGCTCATCATTCTTCTTGTACCTTCCATGATAGTTCGCAGCAATGTATTAGAGACAATACCTATGTTGGACAAAGGGTGGTTGCCACATTGGACCCAAAGACTCCATTGCTGCTTTGATCCCAGCTCCGCGATCTGAAATGACACAGCTGTTTTCCCTCGTGATAACATGTGCACGTAAATTTCGGAAGAAAAAAGCCAAAGAATCTATATCTTCTCCTTCGACAAGAGCAAAAGCAACTGGAAGAATGTTGCGATTGCCATCTTGGACAATTGTCAATAATAAAACTTGCTTGTATTTTCCATACAAGAAAGTCTCGTCGATCTGGATCACACGCTTGCAGTATTTGGCAGCATTAACGCACTGTGGGTAACTCCAAAAAACCAGGTAGAATTGGCTTCGATCGCGAAGAACTCGATCATTATGGTATGCATAGGAGGTTTTGAAGTCCATAATTATCCCAGGATTCAACGTCCGCACCAGCCTAAACCAACCTGGAAGTTCGTTGTATGATGCATCTCATTCGCCATGAAGTTTGACAATGGCATTTTGTTTTGCCAACCAAACTTTTTTTATAGGAAACAGTGTACCTATATTGCGATTGTATAGCTGAAATCAACACTGCAACAGCTATATGAGAGCTTGTTTTTACCATGGACATGATGGCTTGGCATATCATTTCAGAGTCCAAGTTGGGATGATCTTGGTTGACCCATCCAACACAACATGTACGAGGACCGTTGTATACTGTTAGTTCTCATATGTTGTTTTTCCTCTTCATTTTCGATACGCGAACCATCCAATTGCATCTGTTTTCGCATCGGGCACAATAGCATACATATTTTTCGGTCGTCGATCGATTGACTCTGGACTAAACAGAATTACGGATATTGTAATTTTTTTATAGCCTTCACCGCTTCTTCTTTGCTTGAAAACTTCATGCCTAAATATAACTCACCATTATTTATTGATGAGTAATATCCATAGTCACCGAGATGAGGCATATCCGCAAATTCTGGCCCATACATTGCACCATAACCAGCTTCATACATGTGTGCAGGAGGGTCAGTTTGTGCCACATTTCTTGGAACTTTATCATCAACGGAGTTGAATTGCGGTGATTCTGGGTGAATGAATAGTTCAGTCTCAGCATCATCCGCACCAGGCTCACGAAGCGGTTCTTCTGGTGGAGATGATGGTTCCTCCATGCTCTCCACATTTAGGTCGAAGAACCTACTACTTGCACGTCTTCCCCTTGAACTGGAAGACATATCGACATTGAAATCGAAAAAGCTCGTAGTCGAATGCCTCCCCCTGGAGCTTGAAGCCATCGTGTCAAATGGAAACTGCACAGATGGTTGCGTCGATGGCATCTCCATATGGTCAAAGAAATTTGTAGATGAATGTTTTCCCCTTGAACTGGACGCGGTGTTGCCATACGGATTGTTCGTGGACCCACCTCGGGTACATATCGTAAGGAGTTGCGAATGAATGTCTCCCCATTATGGCATTAAAATCATTACACATTACTGTAGTCGGGCTGTCAACTTGATCAACTTGTTCAGCCAGCCCATAGTGGGAGCTTAATGATTGACCCCGAACAGCACGCACTTAAACAAAATATGCATACATCTCAATAGCGGTGTCTGAATAATTACTTTGAGCTTCAACCATCATTTGAACATCATCATTGTTCGAAAGTTCGAACGATGTATAAGTTAATGACAACAATGATGTTGGAAATCTGTACTGCAACGACGACATTCTTCTACTACTTTCAACATGAATCTTCCTCGAAATATTCGTTATCAGCACTTCAAGAGTTATGTTTCTCTTGAATGATATTTTAACACGCTCATTTGATACGAAAACAACGTTGGTTTCATCTTCTCGAATTTCACCATCATAATAAACAATAGCTGAAAGTCGCGTCATTCTTTGAGTTTAAAAGTGCGGCAATATTATATCTGCAAAAAAAATAACTGAAACAAACCTGATTAAATAAATTATATATGAACGAAAATATAACACAATAAATTTTTTACACATTAATGTAAATAATTTAAATAATTTAATTTTATATTATTACCTGTACCGCAAAACTATTTTGACGTATACTCCTGCTTTTTAATTTTACAAACACAAAAATTATTTGAAAATAATTAGTATAATATTTTTTCAAATAATCATAATAAATAATAATTATAATAAAAAAAATTATAACAAAATTTATAACGAAAAATCGCATGAACTTCTAAATCAAATATGAGAAAATTACCAGAATTATTACTCGTTGACGTAATTGTTGTATTAATTTATAAGTTGAGAGGGGAGATGTGAGAAACTTAACCGGGAGGGAAGGGTATTTATAACCATATAAGACGCGGTACCTGCACCGCGCTATATGTAATTATTCAGATAAAAGGTATAGCGCGGACCAGGGTCCGCACTAAATATAATTCATACCCAGGTATAGCGTTGAGCAGGGGCAGTGCTATATCCCTACATGGCGTATAGCGCGGATCCGGTGGTGCGCTATACCCAAGTGTAAGCCATGGCAGCATATAGTGCGGTACAGGGGGTGCTCTATACCCCACGTTGTGCCAAATCAGCATATAGCGCGGGCAGGGAGCGCGCTTTACTACTACAGGTGTTAGATCAAAAAATATAATCTGATTGATATTAGATCGATAAATATACCGATCATCGATAATTTTTCGAGAAAAAAGTCATGAAAATATCTCTCCCCCGTCAATTCGGCGGAGAAGAAAAAGAATGAAATTAAGTGTTTTATTCACTTAATTTAATATTTATTAATTAAATTCTTTTTAGAAATAATAATTTTTAATATTATAAAAAATTAGCACCTGCTTTTATCATTTCCATAGTATCCCATTGTAATTATCAATTTGAATAATTTCCATGCAATTCTTTTCTTTCTCTATAATTTGGTCCATATACTTCAAATTACTTTTCTGGTTTTCAATTTAATAAAGGATCGAACCACTATCTATTGAACCAACTTAAATGAATATGACACTTATGTTCAACAACTTACAATAATAATTAAATCGTTTTAAAAAAAATCATTCACACAATATGAAAGATGGTTTTCCTAACATCTTATACGAGAAAAACATTTCCCCCAAAACATTATTTATTAGATTTTATTGAAAAAATCATACTTCAATCTCTAGGATTTATAATTTCGTTATGACCCCTTAAAATATACTGGATAAGCGCAGGTTATAATTACCAAGATTCTTGGTGTTTGTTAAATTGAAGGCAGGATGTGTATATTTAAGGGGCATTTAGCAAACACTTATGACTACCAAAGTAGAAGGAAAAAATTAATATAATTGATGTGTATACCAATTAATCAGATATTAAAGCTTAATTTTGG